GATCGATGACAGTGGATCTTCCTAGGGCATTCCAGACAGTTCAGGCACACAACTATGACATTAGCCGACCTCGCAAGTTTATGCCTGGTGCATGGCAACTTAGCGACTCTCTGTCCCAACCAAAAACCAGGTGAAACGACAGGTAGATTTAAAAGAAGAGTTAAGAATCAGGTCAATTCAGGGTACGAATGGAAAAAATCCTGGAAATTCCTATCCAACCCTGTGATTGCTCAGTGCCCCTGCCCTCAAAACCAAAGTTGGCTGAGTGGTAACCCTGCACCGTGCCAGCCTGTGGCACAAACCATACCCGTTATGAACCTCAGTTAAGACTCATGGAGAAGGCTTTGGTGCCTGGTGGTTACTTGGGCATTGTGGGAGGGAATAAGCAGGCAGCTTTTAGGCTGAAGTAGGGGATGGGGGCAATGGTGTTGTGAGATGAACCTGAGGTTTTGTCGAGGGGATGTTAGGTCTCCTAACTAGTCGCGGCCGTAGGCCAGGGTTTAATTTTGAGTCCAAATAAAAGACTCTGGCTTCTTCTGCACCTAAACAAATAAAATCTGTAAGCTTCCTAAATTCCACCCCCTCTCACCTCCCAGTAGCATCCACAATCCACAAACGTGAAGACCCTCCATAGCTGAGAGGTTGCCCACTTGCACTGATTGTTCTAGCAGGTGGTTTCCTGGTTTATTGACAGGGAAATGCATTTGCGCCAGACCAAACACAAATTCCACAATCTCAAAAAGAAAATTCACTTACATCAATCAAAAACTGAGGGAGTCTGTTTCGCTCAGGCCTGACCAAACTAACAGAATTCAAATCGTTCCAAATAAAACCATAACACATAGGAGCAGAAACAGGCCATTTAGCCCATCGGGCCTGGTCTGCTGTTCGATGAGATCACGGCTGATCTGATAATCCTCAACTCCACTTCCCTGCCTTTTCCCCATAACCCTTAATTCTCTTACTGATCCCCATTAGTCTCTTCCTGAATTCTGCGATGTGCCATAGCTGTCTGCTGCTGTTCTGACACTCAGGGGTTCAGACCCTGTGACTCAAACCGTCGTTCTGAGGAAGGGTCACCGGACCCAAAGCTTTAACTCTGATTTCTCTCCACATGTGCTGCTAGGCATGCTGAGCTTCTCCAGCAACTTCTGTTCTTGTATGTATTTTTTTTCCACATTTATTTACTGATTTGGATCAGTAATATTCTAAGCTGAATAGGTGCAGGATGATCTGGAGAATTGGGATAGGGGACCAAGAAAATGGCAGGGACCTTTGTAAGCATTTTGTATCTGTCTCCACAGTAGAGGAGCAACCTAAGAATAGTGGAAATTTGAGAGGACAAAGTGAAGGAAAAAGACAAGGAAAACCAATGGAACTTAAAGCTGTCAAGTCCTGTGGACCTGATGGTCTGAAGGTGGATGGAGGAGCAGATAGGTGGATAGGATAGGTGTCCATCTTCTCTCTACCTATCTGCTCCTCTATCCACCTTCTATCATCCCTCCCCCTCTCTCTCTATTTATTTCAGAGTCTCCTTCCCCTCCCGCATTCCTGAAGAAGGGTCCAGACCTAAAACGTCAGCTTTCCTGCTCCTCTGATGCTGCCTGGCCTGCTGTGTTCATCCAGCTCTACACCTTGTTATAATCAACAAATGGTTGGTGTAGGCATGATGGGCTGCAAGGTTTCCTTCAGTGTTGTCTCTTTATGTATGATTCATGATATTGATGGACAGATCAGGAGGGCCATGTTTCTGGCAGTATTGCTTGTTTTTTAAGGTGCATTTATAGTATTGGGTCTCTACTCTGCTCCTATTGTCCTGTTATTCTGTTAATTTCAGCATTAAATGGGCACTTGGTGACACAGAAGCTCTTTTTTCAGTCCAGCACATTGCACAATCATGAAGGAGTTCTTGACTGAGAGTTGGTATTGCATCTCTGTTACTCTAGGTTAAAAAAAAACATGAAAGATGTATGAGCCCCTAGACTCACCACTCATTCCCTCTTACTGACATTAATTATAATCTGTGGGACATCTAATGTGAATATTGTGTGACCATGTAATGCTGATTTTTCATTGAACTGACTGAGGTTATTTTTAAATTTATCCTTGAAGCAACTCATTCCTCATACTGTGGGCCTGAGTAATAACTGTGTATTGCTGTTGTTGTCCTGTGCAAGCGCTTTTTGCAGATAGCGTCTCTATCTATGATGTCCAAATTGATTTAACTTTTATTGTGAAGCCCAAAGGTCGATGATCAGGACAAGGCCAAGCTTGCTTGGACTTAGGAATGTTCTCTTCTTCAAAGACCTGTACAGCGAACTTTGGCTGAGAAGGTTAAATAATTGAGTGGAATTCACATTAAGCGATCTGAAGGTGGAAGAGTTTGATGTGCCTTCTTTCATTTCAATACTCCTCATATGTTCTTAATGCTCTGAAAGTGAAGATTGATCACAGCCTGAAAGCAAAGTTCCTGTGGCGTGATTCAACTCAGGTTCAACAGTTGCATTATGAAGGTGAGAATAGGCCTTGAAGCCAGATCTTCCACTTAAGTTGTGCCATCAGTGGGCTCTGACGCATTCTCATATGCAGAAGTGCGAATTGAAAGGAGAGTTATTCTTGAGCTTCTGTTAGCTACCACCACCATGGTAATGCCATCAATGCATCACCAACTTACACTCTCAGGTCACGAAGACTGAAGAGTTTTTTGAATGAGGAGGAGGCTCAGTTCCTCGTTGTGCAGAGATATTTGGGACAAATGAGGTGGATTTGCAGCATGAAAATCACCAAACAGAAATGACAGCAGCGAAAGGCTTTGCTTGACTTCTCTTTCCCCATCAATGATTAATGTTAATATATTGTGTGAGACAGTTGCTGTACATATGGATTCCCATGGCTTCATAACTCGATCACCCAAATGTTTATAGTGCAGGAGCATGACACTTTTCATCTCATCAACTGGTCCCACTATACCGTTAGTGTTGTGGATCACTTGATATCACAGAACAACTGTGCCTTTTCTTGCTGCTGTATGACAAAAACCTTAGGAGAAACGAGCCGAGTGCAGTTCATGGTAGATGACTGAAGTTAAGAAATTAGACTCGTAGTCCCAGTGCCTTATCTAGCCTCTGGCATATGGGTTGGCACAAGTACACCTGGGAAATGAAATGCATCAACTTAAAACCTTAAAAACCCGACACCCTCCTCTTTCCTTCCCCTCTGACACACAAAAAAATTTGGGCACTTTGTTTTCAGTTTTGAAATGGCCAGAGCATCAGACAGCTTGCATCATCCCAGATAATTTTTGTGACCTTGTAATGTGAATTGTGGGATGTGTCCTAGCCCAGCGGGGCAAATAAATCACAGCAGAACCAAGAAAGCCTCTTGTGTGAATTCAGAATCTCAATGCTTAGAATCGTAGAATCCCTACACTGTGGTAGCAGGCCATTCAGTCCATTGAGTCCACACCTCGAAAGAGCATCCTACCCAGACCCATCCCCATAACCCCTCGTTCCCCAGGGCTAACCCACCTGGCCTGCACAACCCTGGTCACTATGGGGCAATTTAGCATGGCCAATCCACCTAACCTGCACATCTTTGGACTGTGGGAGAAAACAGGAGTACCTGGAGGCAACCCACGCAGACACAGGGAGAATGTGCAAACTCCACACAGACAGTTGCCTGAGGGTGGAATTGAACCCGGGTCCCTGGTGCTGTAAGGCAGCAGTGCTAACCACTGAGCCACCGTGCCACCTGCTTTATTGCATTAGACAAAATGAAGGTTGATTTGTGGGTTGTGTCGTCATCACGTGATTTTTTTGTGGCCAGTATTTTGCGTTCTGAAGAAGTGGGAAAAGGAGAAGACAGCATTTGAGGCCATCAACTCCTCTGATTGGATAAAGTTCCTTTTGTTTTATACAGAACCCAATGCAGCAGTATGACGATCCATTAGAATTATTTCTGTGACATCACAGCATCCAGATGCCTCTTCATTTAACTAAAAACAAAATACCATGGATGCTGGGAATCTGAAATAAAAACAGAAAATGTTGGAGAAATTCGGCAGGTCTGGCAGCATCTGTGGAGAGAGAGACAGGGTTAACGTTTCAAATCCAAAGACCATTCTTCAGAATGTAAGACTCTCCAAAGAAGACTTGAAACATTAACCCTGCTTCTTTTTTCCACAGATACTGCCCATCCTGCTCAGTTTTTCTAATATTTTCTGCTCTTACTTCTTCAATTATTCTGTGAGACCATGGGTAGGACAGTTGGCTCAGATGGAATGTAATAAAAAATAATTCACTCTTTGCGCTTTATGCTTACTCAGTGCTCTGATACAAATTAATTTTGTGATTTTGAAAATGGGGTGAGAGTTTTTATATCTGATGTGTTGCTTAATTGGGAGCCAGTGTCAGTCAACAAGCACAGGGGTGATGGGTGTTCAGGACTTGATGTGAGTTGATACACAGAATCCATATTTTGGATGACCTGAAATTTATTGAGGGGAGAATGTGGCAGGTTAGTCAGGAGGTCTTCAGAATCATCAAGTCTGGAGGTCACAAAGGCACAGTTGAGAGTTTCAGCAGCAGGTCCAGTGAAGCAAGAGTAGAGTTGAGCGATATTGTGGAGGTGTTAGTGATGCTGCCAATATATAGTGAGAAACCCACTTTGGGATCAAAATGGGCGCTGAGGTTACAAATAGTCTAGTTTATTCTCAGATAATTGCCAAGATGACAAATGGAGTCAATAACTAGGGAATGCAGTTTGGAATGCAACCAATAGCAATGGTCGGAGAATGACAAGCACCAACAGAACAGTACCCCAACATGAGGTGCCACCATCAGGATCAGAAATGGGTGGGTGTGGGGTTGTGATCATCTAAACTTAAAAGAATTGAGCGGCATCTATGCTGCTCTCTCGACAATCAGAATTTAAAATGTTGGGTAATGTAGTCTCTGTTTTGCTGTCCTTCTGAAGGATTTTATTGTTCGTCATTCCGACAGGGCTGTGTCAGCGGATGGGAACTCTGTCACAAGACTGAGACATAAGAGTAGTCAGTCAAAGTGAGAAGAATGTGTGTGGCCGCTTGGCTGTGGACATCCACCCCTTTTGAGACACTTTGAATGGAACAACCCTGAATGGAACACACATCCAGCGAGCTCCCAGCTCTTTTGAAGGAGGATGTGGACAGGTAAGACATTTCAATTTTAAGCAAAATAATAAAGCAATCTTTTCCTTCGATTGGTAGTGTGGAATAACATACCAGAATGAGGCCAGATCTCAGAGATGGCGAGAGTGGATGTGGTGTTGAATTTCAATGGGAGATGGTAGCATAGTTATAACATCATTAAGCAAATAATACAGAGGCCCAGGCTAATGTTTTGGAGACGTGTTCAAATCCTGTCAGAGCAGCTGGTGGAATTTAAATTCAATTTCGATTTGATTTTATTTATTGTTATCACAAATACCTAAGTACAATGAAAAGTTTTGTTTTGCAAGCAGTACAGACAGATCATAATATACAAGGACGTACAGATTATAGGGTGTTTAAACAGAGTGAGGCATACAAGGTTACACCTGCACAGGAGGTGCACAGAAGCAAGATCAACAACAGGTTTGAAATATGAGAGGTCCATTCAGCAGTCTAATAACAACAGGGGAGAAGCTGCTCTTGAGCCTGTTGGTACATGTGGTTAAGCTTTTGTATCTCCTGCCTGACAGAAAAGGTTGGAGGAAAGTATAACCAGGGTTGTAGGGGTCTTTGATGATGCTGGCTGCCTTTCCACAGCAACGAGGATTGTAGATGGAGTCCATGGATGGAAGGTTGGCTTGCATGATGGTCTGCGCCATTCAATTGAACAATCTGGAATATAAAACTAGTCTCAGTAATGGTAACCATATTATCATCAGTTGTTGGAAAAACCCATTTGCTTCACTAATGTAATTTAGGAAGGAAAACTGCTGTCCTTAGCTGGTCTGGTCTACAGATGTCTCCAAACCTGCAGCAATGTAGTTGACTCTTCACTGTACTGAAAAATGTCTAGCAGGCCCCTCAGATCAAGGTCAATTAGGGATGGGCAATAAATGGTTAGTTTTGGTGGCTAGGATGACAATTCAAAAGGTCCAGAAACATCCAAATCCTATGGAGAATAAAATAAAAGCCAAACAAGAAGAGTCCTGGAGTCACAAAGCGAGTAAGAGGAAGGATGTTGATGAACCCTACTTAGACTTCGTGTACCATCCATATCACTGAGATCATTCTAGCCGTTTCTATCTATCTGATCTTTTACTTGGTTTGTACCGATGACATGCCCCTCTCATGTATCTTTCTTTTTCCAATGCCCCTCTTCCATGTCTCTGCAATCTCTGATGTCCTCTCCTCCACTCACAAACCTGTTAATTGTCTTCAGAATCCAACCTGGCCCTTAGCTCCCCAATCCTGGCTGCGGTTATAAAGCTGGATCAGCTTAAATTGTCAAGAAGCCCCGTATGACATGATGCTATCTGTAATGTCCAGTGTCAGATAACAGCCTGTAGCAGCAAACCACGAGCTTTCACTATTGTTGACTTGTTTTTCTCATCAAAATATTGAAAATGCAAAGGGTTTTGAGTAAAATGTGGAGAATTGTATCAGTTACAGGCAACAGTGGGCACTCTTCCACCAGAAATGCAATGCATTTGCGGTGCAGCAACCTAATATTTTATGAGCAATATTTTGTGATGGGTAAGGAAAAATATCATTGTTTTGTTAACACAAGTATTAGAATATGTGTTTGCACAAAAACTTTGCTCATGAAACTTATGTTACCGCAACTTGGAAACCATAATTTTCATTGGCCTTTCTTGCTCAAGGATACTGAATGTAATGTTGATTGTGCCATATACTTTAGCATCACAACATCCTCTGAAAATGTCTTATTCAGTTTCATTTGATGTAGCGATGGTCCATTTTTTCCCCAGTAAAATAACTTAAAGTGAACCAGCTTCATCTTGTCATCAGTCAATAACTGGGAGCAGTTATTTTCCACACTTTTATATACGATTGCCTCAAAATCAGATGGTAGGATATTGGACTGTCTACTCCCAACGCAAAAATGGCCAACTTGATCAAAATGCATAGGCACAGTTGTACACGTGATATCACACCAGCATAACATTAAAGTTTAAGCTAGTTGTAAGATGGAGGAAAACACTGCCACAATTCTAAACAGCCTCTAAATGTATTTGCAAGTTGCACTTCTGCTGAGTATAAAATAGCCTCTGAGTTAAATTTTAACATTGCAATGCTGCTCTATAGACACCAGCCAATTTAAAAGTCATCACTTTGCAAGGAAATTTACCAATTATGTTTTCCAGATTTTACAACCACATTAAAATTTAGTGTAAGTAGTATTTGTAGTCTGGTGACTTGTTTCCTGCTTGCAATGAATTTTTACACAACAGACCTGTTGGTCCTTTTTTCCACATTCAGTTAAGTGTAACTCTCTTATCTTTCACTTTTATGGAAGGCAAAGTTTCATCTAGTGGTGCAGCTCTACAGTATCACATTCTTGTTGTCTCATTGTGCTGCTTGAAGGCACTTTGGGCCCTTTTATTATAGTGATGGTCCTACATAAAGGCAAGTTGTTGTAGACACATTGATGTACTGGCCGTGCAATATTCTTCCTCAGCTGCACCAGTGCATGGCTCAGGAGGATGAGCTGTTGCATAAAGCTAAATCATATGGCATTATGATGGCTCACTGGGTTTACCCAGTGCAAAGCTAAGCTTTCCAAATAAGGAAGGGTCCAGATTCATCATATTCTGTGTTTAGTTAGTTGATCTCAGCCTTTGAAAAAGAGAGAAGGAAAGAAATCTGCATTCATATAGTGTCTTCACATTCTCAGAATACCCTAAAAATGCTGAAATAACATTTCTTTTTGAAAGTGTAAATAATTCTTATTATGTAACAAAATGTGATGGGCAAGATTAGGCACAGTGTAATGTCCCACCTCTTCCTCCGTTACAATCCCTCTTCCGTACCTACACCGGCCCTAAACCCCACCTCTTCCTCCGTTACATTGATGACTGTATCGGCGCCGCCTCGTGCTCCCACGAGGAGCTCAAACAGTTCATACACTTCACTAACACCTTCCACCCCAACCTTAAGTTTACCTGGACCATCTCTAACACCTCTCTCCCCTTCCTGGACCTCTCTGTCTCCATATCGGGCAACCACCTAGAAACCGATATTCATTTCAAGGCCACCGACTCCCACAGCTACCTAGAATACTCCTCCTCCCACCCACCTTCCTGCAAAAATGCTATCCCCTATTCCCAATTCCTTCGCCTCCGCCGCATCTGCTCCCAGGATGAGGCATTCCACTCCCGTACATCTCAGTTGTCCTCGTTTTTCAAGGACCGTAACTTCCCCTCCTCGGTGGTCGAGAACGCCCTCAACCGTGTCTCCCACATCTCCCGCACCTCATCCCTCAC